CCTGTAAAATGGAATAAGGTTAGGGTTAACCCCCCCCCCGCTCCAAAAATAGAATTGATTTAGTTAAAGATCCCTCCTCGTAAAATGGAATAGGTTTAGGGTTAAACACCCCGCTCTAAAAAAGGAATAGGGTTCACACACCCCTGCTCTAAAATGGAATAGTCCTGCTCCTCAATTTATGCAAATGAGGGTCACGCGGTACCGAATGCAGGCTTCTGATTGGTCGAGAGCCTCCCAAATAAGGCAAAAATGTCCTGGTCAGACCCTATGCACTACTCTTCCCACGGTCTCTGGCAGAGGCAATAGAGTTGATCGTCGTCGTCCGCCTCTCCGTCGTCCGCGGTAGAGGGATTTCGCTCGAATTCAGCGATCCATTTCGGCAATTCACGGTCTTGACAAGGTTTAAGTTTGTCATGGTGGGTCACCATGACTGCATTTCGTAGACGTACGCGAAACGCGTACGGTGCGAGGACTTCTATGATGATTCCTGGACCTTTCCAGGGTGAGCGTAATTTCGCGCTCTTTCCCTTAGCCACTGTTTGGTCCAGTACGTAGACTTTATCACCCGCAGAGTAGGGGCGTTCTAGGAGTTTAAGATCATAATTCCTTTTATTCCCCCTCTGCATTGCTTTGAGATGGGTTCTGGCGGTATGGTGCGCCAGTCGCATATTCGCTGTCAAGCGGATTGGATATGAGACCTGGTCGGAGCTAGCACCCCTCAGGTCTGACCCGAACATAAGATCTGGAGGGGTCGTGACTTCACGACCAAGCATCATCATATTAGGAGTACAATTCGTACTGCGGGAAACTGTTGCCCGAATTGCACTAGTGATTTGAGGTAGGAATTTATCCCTGTCTTTCTGTTTCTTACCTACAAAACACCTAACAGCGTTCATTACTGTAAGATTATAACGTTCGATCTGTCCATTAGCGGAAGGCCGGTATGGGGTGGTGTGAGTTTTCTTAATACGAAGCAGTTTGCACAGCTCCGAGAATAGGTTACTTTCAAAATTTGCGCCCTGGTCCGAATGCAATTACAATGGCATCCCAAAGCGTGAAAAGAACTCTCGAACCAACACCTCGGCGGTAACTTGCGCCGTTTGTGAAGGAACTGGGTAGGCTTCCATCCACTTAGTAAATTGGTCCACCACCATTAGGATATACAAGTTTCCCTGGTTAGACTGGGGGAAAGGGCCTGCAAAATCTATGTGAACCCTCTCCATAGAAGCGCCAGCATGAAAATTAATTTGCTAGTAACGCCCCTTCTTCCCACCTTTCTTATTTCGGTTGCAGCTCTCACAACCTACTACATAGCGCTCTATTTCAGCAGCCATACCGTGCCAATAGAAGCGCTGCTTAAGGTGTAATTTGGTGCGTTTCACACTTTGGTGGCCTGCCGATGGGGTATCATGATACGTTCGCAGAGCCACGTCAATTAGACTACGAGGTAGGAGTAGACGTTCGCTATTCCCGTGTTTATCAGTTAAATAGGCAAGATCATCCTGAAGCCGAATGATATCTTTGCTAAGCCAGTAATCCTTAGCAGCTGGACTAAGAGCAAATAATTCAGCTTCGGATGGCGCCACGCCATCGTTTAACCAAGTTAAAGTGGGGACCAAATCTACATCCCCTGCTTGAGCATCTATAATTTCCTGAGAGGAAAACCCCCAACAGGATTGAGTAGGTTGGCGAATATCCGCCATGTTCACTCGATGTGTCTCAAGTGAAGGTTGGGAAGCTGGTGCAGACGTCAGTGGAACTACATCGTCTACATCCTCCATAAACGGAGCCCACTGTTCATGCGCCCGCTTGCAATACTTACACCCCCCACAGGGCAATTCTTCAAGTCGAACCCCATATTTAGAATGGTTCTCACCCTCTGGCGCACGCGAAAGCGCGTCCGCATTCACATGACGTTTCCCCGGCCGATGTTGTACGACCATGACATACTGGCTCAGCTCCTCCATCCATCGAGCAAGCTGGCCCTGAGGTTCTTTGAATCTAAGAAGCCAGGTGAGACTATTATGGTCGGTTCGCACAGTTAGCTACGTGAATTTCTGCTTGTTTTAAAACCTTTTTTTAGTTTGAATGACTGACCAATCTATAGGCTAAATGTTGATACCAACATCATACAAATCCATTGACTAAATCAAGAGTTATGAGCATAAATGTTACCCCCTACCCCAAAAAGTGTTGTTGATTACAAATTTCTCGGATCATAACATTGACAATAGTACATAATGCATTTTATTTTTTTTCTTGTTAACCCCAATTTTTGTATTCCATACGTCAGTAACTACAAGAAAAACACAATTTGTATCAAATACATCCAAAATTAGACATATGACACTGAAGTTTATTGATATTTTATGCAAAAATTTGAATTTTAGAAAAAGGTCGATGACCTTTTGACCACTAGTGACGTTAATAATTGTCGGATTAATTTTATTAAAACTGCATATGATTAAGAAACATATATGCTACACATTGCTACCAAAATATTATTGATGGGATTTTTAAATCACAGGTTATGGGCATAAAAGTTACCCCTCTCCCCCGAAAAAAAAGTATTGACCATAAAACACTAACGACCATTACAAATGACGCGAGTAATACAATGCATCCCTACATTTTTCTTGTTAACATCAATTTCTTTGTTCTATATGCCCGTGGGAACAAAATGATACCAAGGAAGTTGAACTATGGCGGGGAGTACCGCGGCGTACTCATTTTCACAAAGCATTGCATACCCTCTAGTCATTGGTTCGAAGGTCCATTAGTCCGACGGTCCATTGGTCCGTAGGTCCATTGGACCGAAGGTCCATTAGTCCGAAGTTCCATTGGTCCGAAGGTCCATTAGTCCGAAGATCCATTGGTCCGAAGGTCCATTGGTCCGAAGGTCCAATATGATCACGAACCCCCCAACCAACTCTACCACCAAAAAAAAAAAATTCTGGATACACCACTGCGGGCGCTATATTTTTTAATAAACGCCTCTCACTTAAATTCATAATATTTTGTACAGAGTTAATTGACTTAAATTAAAACAATGCTACATTTTTCATTGCAAATTTTTTAGTGAATGATTATATAAATATTGTTATTTAAATATTTGTATAGTTGGTTGGCGTTTTAATACCCAAATACTCTTTGTCATCGTCGCCAACATCCTTATCATCATTATAATCGTCAACATCATTCGGCACCTTTGTTAACATTATCAGCAGAGAGGATCCAGAAGAAAAATGCTAGTAGGGGATAAAAGTATCAAAAAGGTTTTTAACATGAAATGAGAGAACCGGGGGTTTTGATAAAAAGTATATCTTAGCTCTAGTATTGCATTCTAATCGGTGGCGTAACAGGCAGGGGGGCAAGGGAGGCAGAGTGCCCCCCTCCCTAACGGATTTTTACCGGGCTGAAACCGTCGTACCGGGCTGAGTAAGAAGAGGAAAGAAAGAAAGAGGGGAGAGGGAGGGAAAGAGAAAGAAGGGGAAAGAAAAGGAGAGGAAAAAGGAAAAGAAAAATATAATAGAAGAGAAATATAAAGACAAGAATTAAAGGGAATATATCATATGACTACATATCAGCTGTCTCTTATACACATCTAGATGTGTATAAGAGACAGCTACTTCCATTTTCTCAATATTTTCGCACCTCAGCCCTTAACATGTTGGGTCTGAGGTAATGTGGGCTGTCGCGCACCCATGGAAGCAGATCATGCGGGAAGGACACCCCTCACTTTTCGTGAGTCAAGAAGATTAGCTGGAAAATTGTTGAAATAAAATGCATAAATGACCTTAACGAAAAAGAGCGCTCTACAGAGTACAGTACATCTTATTTTATAGCAAGATACCGGTATCTCTGCCCACAAACATCTGAATAACCTATAATACTAGACCCGAGTGCATGTGCCTTTATTATAATTTGAGAAGCTGAAAAAAAGTGTGCAAAAATAAGATTTCGACATGTGAACAGGGAAAGATTTAGAGGGGGGGGGGGTGGTGCGGCCCGGCCCCGGTCCCCCATTTTGGAAGGGGAAAAAAAAGGAAAGGAAGAAAAAGAAAATAATGATCACCCAAAACGCTTCTGATGTCATTTTCAGGCGTCTAAAACGCACAAATTTCGCGGGGGCATGCCCCCGGACCCCCTTGATAATGCTATCTCGTTCGGCCCAAATTTCGCCCCACCTTCCGGCCCCCACTTTTGGACATCTCTGGATCCGCCCCACACGAAGTAGTATTAGTAGTAGTAGTATTAGATCGATGATGATGAATATTACTATAATATAAGAATGTCATATCCGCAGTACAAATTCCCTGAATTTTAACACCTCAGCCCCAAATATGTTTTATTTTTCATGGTACATCACACATTAGACCTCAAATTTTCTCACCTGAGCCCTAACCATTGTAGGGCCTGAGGTAAATGTGGCATACGGATTTGAGGTAGGTCAAATAAATTAAATACATCAAAGAAACTGTTTCTTTAGTTTTATTTTCTATGGTACATCACTCATAAGACCAACCTTGCAAATTCCACGGCTAACAAAGGCTTCTTTGCTGTTGCACCGTATATTTGGAATAAACTCCCTTGTGAAATCAGACAGGCCCCTACTTTAAATAAATTTAATTCGGCCCTCAAGACGCACCTTTTCAATAATTCTTCGTGATTAAGCGCTGTTAGACCCTGCAGATGCCTCGTGTTTTCTGTTTGTTACACCTGCGTAATGAGCGCTATATAAATGTTCATATTATTATTATTATTTATTATTATATTAATTAGAAAATTCCTGATTAAAAATCTTCATCTATAGGCCTACTATTGATGTTGTGATGATGATGAGTTTTACTGTACAAATGTGTCATTCCCGGCCATCTAAGCTAGTGCTTTCTCAAATTACCTCACCTCAGCCCCAAACATGGTGGGGCTGAGGTGGTTGTTGACTCACATCATTGAAGTAGGTAAAATAAATACATCAAAGAGAATGTTTTAAAGTTTTATTTTCTATGGTATAACATCACACATACTAATTAGATCTCTGTGGTTCCCGAAAATCGCTGCATCCGCCCCAGGATAGCCATTTATATAGCCATATTGGGAACCTAACCAGGGGGGGGGGGGACTTCACGCCCCCCGGCGAGGTTCCTCGCTTCAGAACACTTGTCCCCCCAAATAATATCACGGACCCACACTTCCCCCTCCCCCTACAGAAATATTCTGGCTACGCCACTGAGTAGGGTGAAGAAAAGATTAACTCATACGTGAAATAGGTATGCCGGAACCAAGTTTTCAAATTGTGAAAGAATTGCATTGCTCAGCCGAAGGTAATGCATAATGATGTAGCGGAACCAAATATCAAAATACAAGAACATTTAAACAAACACAAGAAAAACACAACGAAAAATTGTGTAGGTATTGTTATCTGTAGGCCTATAATTATTTTTAGAGCGCTATTACGGCAGTAGAGATTTTATGAAAAAAAATTAGGGTCGCATTATGGGATACTGGTGGATTTTTACTATCATTTTGTTTTAATTATTACTGGAAAACGAAGTGTATACAATCAACTTTAATGTTCTTTTCTCTTTCTCTTTCTCCCCCTCCCCTCTCTCTCCCTCACCCTCTCCCCTCTCTCTCCTCTCACTCTCTCCCTCTCCCTCTCCCTCTTTCTGTTTCTTTCTTTATTTCTTTTTTTCGCTTTTTTTATTTTCGGGGTGGGGGCTAAAGCCCGTTTAGCCCCGCTCTGAATCCGCGGCTTATCAGTCATTATTAAACAAGAGAAGAAGAAAAAAAAAAACACAGGTTATTTCTAACAAATATGGTTGATATAATATAATGTCTGTTATAGCTTTCTTAATTATTAAAATGCTATTTCATTCCATAGTTATAGTCTGCT